CAAAATGGGTTTTTCAAGTTTTCTTTAAAGTATTTTTAAATATTTTTTCGACATTCGCAAGAAAAATGCATTTTTTTTCATTTTAAAAACGTTAAAAATTATTTTGCTGAAGAATAAATCTTGTGTTAATAAAAACATCGATTAATATATTGTAGTATTTGAAGTTACAATGTCTAAAATTTAATCATTTTTAATAATTTTTTAAGGTTAAGGTAATATTTTTTGGCATTTGTAAGAAAAATAGTTTTATCATTCAAAAACGAAAAAAAATTATTTTGGCGATGGATAAATCTTGTAGTAACAAACAACCTAGATTTATATATTGTTATATTTGAGGTTAGAATGTTTAAATTGGGGTTTTCAAGTTTTTTTTTTCAAGGTTAAGTTAAAGTTATTTAGTTATTTAGTTATAAAGTTATTTTTTGGCATTTGGAAGAAAAATTCGTTTTTTTTTATTTAAAAACGAAAAAAAAAACGATTTTGCTGAAGAATAAATCTTTTAACAATAAAAAAAACATGGCTTATTACATTGTAAAATTTAAGGTTAGAATGTCAAATATGGGTTTTTACTGTTTCCTTCACGTTTCTTTACTGCAAACTTTATCAAAATCCCAATATTTGTTCGACACACCTTGAAATTCGTTATTTACCCACGTATTCGCCAAAAACTGACAAAAATTACCACAATATTAAATATCTCCTGTACAAGTCATGTACAACCCTTGCGCGTCTGTCTGTGTGTATAATATACAATATTGAATTTACTTCCAATATTTACACGGGTTGCCATAATCTACCACCATAAGTCGGGCATTTGAATAAACACGCATGTATCAACCCGGATATTTTCGTATTACGTATTGATCTTCGAACCAAGTATTGATAACAGTATTAACACAAGCAGCGCGCCCGCAAGGCACTCAATGAAGAGTGCGCTCTCAACATATTTTCCTGCCCGCTTAACAATCACCCTCTGTAGTCCTGTGTGTGCACGCCGGCGGATGAATGACGGCGCATTCATTTTATTCATATGGGGATAAAACGCTGTGGAATTAAATGAAATGTAAGCAATAAAGTAGTGTGGCGTTTCCTTTTTTTTTTTTCATTTAACATTCAAGTCGCATCACGCCCAGCGCTCCACTTACAGTCGTTACAGAGTTACAGCGCAGTTTACAGCGTAGGTAGTTAGCCATATGTGAGCGTGATTAGTGAATCATCGCACATGATGGTGATAAGACGTGCGGGCGTCCATCCCTCATGATATTCTTTCACTAAAAAACGAATTAAACTTGTTTAATGCTTGAATATTGATTTTGTTTAGAGAATTTAAAAATAATTGAATTTTTTTGTTTGTATTTTTTGTTTTGGAAGTTTTTATCGCGAAAATGGAAATCGTCTTTATTTGGGCGCGTGATAATCTTGGTGAATTTCACTATAACATGGCGATAATAAGGTGGCATTCAATATGTGTCGTTGATATTGAGTTATCGATTTTTTTTCGCGCCAAACAATCGAATCGTTTAGCGCGGACACGAGCATAATTTAATTTCTGTTTATGTTAAATAAAAACTTTTAATTTGACAATGCGCGTGATAATTTCAATGCACAATATATTGCATTACAAGCTTTTGGCCGCGATTTCGTCCCGGTAGTGTTTAATAAAAATGTAATTCGTTTTTACTCTCTTGTTCTAGACATAGTGTGTGTCAATTCTATCAATAAGATTTGCAAATTTATTTTAAAGAAATTAATAGTATAAAGAATTGTTAATAATGCACTTCAGCGCGCCATCTCGGATTCAACTATTTAACTATAACTATGATTGAATCACAATGCCTACTTTTATCCTATAGAAAAAGGCTGTCTATAGGGTTTTCCCAGCAATTATTCGAATTTTTCTCGCTGTAAAAACCATCTTTGGACTTTAACAAACATTTAAAAAAAAGAATTGGCCAAAATGGTCTAGGCGTTGTTGAGTTATGCGCTTACCAACAGAATTTGCGATTAATTTTTATATGTATAGATATTGCTGCGCCTATATTTAAAAATTGCATAATTTGCAAGAAATTCCAAGAAATACTTTTCTATTTCTACTTCGATTTGTAAACATGCAAGTTTTGATCAATTACTTATTCCTCAACACATTATATTATAGGCACGAAGTGCATTGCGTCATTTTATAGTTAACTTTACCTTTCGTACGTTTGTATAGCACGGTTTCAAAGCGAAGGATTTTGTTTCGTTAGTTTTTGATTCTTTTACCTTCTCGTCTTGCTCCCTATGTGGTTGAATGTAGGATTTTACATTAAGTCGAGTTTATTTTCGGTTGCTTCATACCTTACGGAATCTTTTATCGACAGGGAGCGGCGATCCACCCACCCACATAATAACCATTCTTAACTCGGCGGGCTTTGCCTACCTCGTTGATCGGCGCATAACTTATTGCTTCGGCGCGCGTTTAATTCATCTTGGAAAACAAATTGAAGTATTCGAAACTTGTTGGTGTCATTAATCATTTGTGACAAATGTAGGCAACACACATGACATGCATTAGGTAAATAGCTTGATTGGTAATTTTTATTTCGTGTATTGCTTAACTTTGGCGGTGGTTTTGGGGCAGTTTGGGTGGAATTTCGAGGGTTTGGATATATTCGTTTTAAAGGGCAACTCTAGTGCTATTTAAATATGCAAAGAGCATATTGATAACTAAAATGGTTAATGAGAAACTCGCAATTTTGTGTGATGATTATTTGAGGCATATTTTTACGTAACATGAAGGACAATATTTAAAAGAGTTTTACATCAAAATGGTGACTTTAAAAAAAAAAAGTGTAAACTAGTTCTTATAGAGAATTTCATGATCTACAATTTTCGTCTAACATATTTTTTGTCTAAAATTAATAGTTTGGCTAGAAAATGCAAAAAAAAAATTTTTGAAACTTTTTTTTTTCCATTGAACGTACAATATGAATGCTAATAACCTTGAATAGGTATATATTTGAACTGAATTTTTATCAGTAAAAACTAAATTTAAATTTAGTTAAGGGATAAACACCACAAATGCAAAAGTACTTTTGTATTGTGAATGTAATTCATAAAAATAACAGGAAGTGTTTTTAATGTCGCTGCTGTGGGCTGTGGGGTGCCTATTGGAATGAGCGAAAGGAAGGAACATTTTTCACTTCCGCCGCGCCGAGTACCGCGCAACATTAAATCGAAACAAGTACGCTGCAAGTATGTATTCTAATAAGTGAGTACCGCCGACGACGAGGGAAGGACTGGAAGGAGCATTGCGATTGGACGCGGCACTCCTTGCGCGCGCTAAAATTATCCACGCGGCTATTTTCGTTGCGCGATTGTCCGAAATAGAATCAAGGGAGATTTTTCATTTCGTTGATCAACACAAACTTAAAATATTTTGTTTTATCTCAATATGTGAATAAGGTAAAAGCAACTGGCCCATTAGCTCAGTTGGTTAGAGCGTCGTGCTAATAACGCGAAGGTCGCGGGTTCGATCCCCTCATGGGCCAAAAGTTTTTTCCAAAATTTCTTATTAAAATTAAATTTTTAAATTTTATACTTGTCAGTATAATTAGAACTTATATTTTAATTTACAATGAAAATGATTACTTAACTGGAAGTGAATAGAGGGTTGTAGGGTTGAGTGGGTTGAAAGGGCGCTTCCTTCCTACCTGTGCCTTCGAGATTATAATTACCAGGATGGGGTGGGTAGCGACGCATGCAGATAATAGATAAAACTTTAATGGGCTTATTATTATGCACTGTTTGTGTGCGCGGAGTCGCGACGCGATAGACCGAAGGGAAGGAAATCACAAAAGGGGCACTGACTTCGTGGGGTAATCGCCGATTTACCGGAAATAGTTATTTGAATAATAATTAAAGAGCGCTTGAGCGTGATGTACGAAACAACCGCGCTGCGTGTATCTTCATGCGTAACAACACACACCAATGGGGTGGTTTGCATCGTTGATTTCAGACGCTCCCTTTGGTTAATAATCATCAGGTGAAATCTGGAATCTCAGATTTTATAAAAAACACTCAACTTTTGACGTTAAAGGTAAAGTTAGAGAAACAAAGCATCTAATTGTGTCATCAGATTAGTGTCGTACTAAAGAAAGGTATGGCAACGAACAAAGAAATAAATAAAAATAAAACTCCAAGTCACACCGAAGAGAAAATAGCTTAGGTTTATGACTATGGCTAGCCGAGGAGGAACAGAGTAGAGCAGTGACATCACGGTGGTCATCGGCCTGTGCGTGACTTTACTACTCGCCTTTGTCCATTTTGTTCATTTGGCTCGTAAAGAGATACCAGCATAACCTAAACGCAAAAATCATAATAATTTTGAGGTTATTGCGCGATTTTCGCGGTGGATTTTTTGCGCGTGCGCGTTTTAAACTCTTAAACATGCGCAATGTGAAGAGGGCTCTCTCGCTACAAGAGGGAAGCTCTTGTGTGTATATATATGCGACTTGAAGAGTGTTGCACGCACCGCTGGAGGTTCGAGCGTCGTCGCGATGGGGTCGACAACCGGGCAACCCCGTGTCGTCGTCTTCCATCTTCAACCATCCTCTTCGGCCATGCCGCGCGTTCGCTACGCTTTGGCCGCGGCGCGCCTCATGCGCACATGCTACCGAGAATTAGATACATTAGAAATAAGTTCCTCCGCGGCGGCAGGTTGGCTTTAATGTCCTGCGCAGCGCTGCGGCGCGGACCCGGTGGGAATGGGAAAATATTCCGGGCTGTGCAACTCGTTCATGCGTTGCGCACTTGTTGCGTGTGTCCTGTGTGGCTGCTACAGCTTAATGACGGACGATGAAGCGCCGACCAGTAGCGCGCGTAATTTCGTCAAATTTAACATCCTGTATGCCGTAACTTGGGCAGTTAATCAACCGACCGTGAAACCGATCGTTTCCTACAACAAATCGAAGAGTAATCGCATCGCATCGCATCGCGTTCATTCAGTTATTCACGACCCGTCGATCACTTGAGTTTTATTTTTTATTTCCGCTTCTACAACATTTATAAAAGATTTAAATCATTGGACATTTGTAGGGTTTGTTATCTTTGCAACAGAAGGCTCTTCCGGCGGACATGTTACTGTTGATCCACTTGTCGTTGTAGTTCTTGGTGAACAAGTAGGCTTTCTCCTTGTGGCAGTCGCGGTCGATCGTCGAGCAAATGATGTCGGCGCTCTTCGGCAAATACTTAATTATCTGCAAACAGAAAAGCCCAAATCAAAGCTGAACGACAGAATAACGGTCGACATTCCTCCACCCAGTGTGTGTGTGTTGTTTAACTTACGCTCTCGATGCATTTGTTGGCGCATTGCCGCTGTCCGATCGAGTTGTGCGCGAAGTGCGCATCCTGCTCCTCGGTGATGACCGGTTCGCCCTTGGGGGCAGCTTTGGAACCTTTCTTAAACTGGCCGGAGAGGAAGATGCCGCACGTGCAGGGCACTGGCGTCGTTGATTTCGCCTCAACGTTCTTCTTCTCGTCTTCATGCGCGTGCGATTTATTCGTCTTGTGCTCTTCTTTGCCGTGCACGCCGATTACCACAAGGGCTAATAATAATAAACATAAGCCGAATTTCGTGCCGGCGCGGACGTGCATGATGGATTTAATAACTTGGTTGGGTTTCGTTGTGGGGCACTTAAAATGCGGCTATCGTCGACGGGTATCTTCGGTGGCTTACGCGCTCTGCGTCCGGTTGCACACTGATAACTTGCCGGGTTATTGTTATGCGCAGGTCGGCGGGTGAGGTAGACAAGACTTCGCCAAAAGCAATTGCAATAAATAAAATGTGCTGGCGACTACTGGTTTTCTTGCCGAAACGGCAGAAATCGTAAAAACTAATGGAAATTATTATTGCGCGCATTTTGTGGACGAATTTATTCGGCGAACGCATTCACATTCACATTGCACGTTGGAGCAAAAATTTTGCATGTGCATATAAAATATTAACGTTGGACGACTTTTGCCTCCCCATGCAAAACACATTTCTTTTTACCTGTTTTACCACAAACATCAACAGAACAATCAAATTTTAAATGTATTATTTTCCTAACGCTAACAACCTCCACTTGTGTCGTGATATTTTCGCCTGCGTAACATTTGTCAGGAAAATTTAAACTCTGCCAGGCGACTAGAGTTCCAGCGCCAGGAAGTTGCGTGCCGATAACGCTGGACACAATCCCGTTGAGTAACGCCCCGTGCACGACCGCCATCTTTCCATCTTGCGGCAAATGAATGGGGTTCGTGTCTCCACTCAGTCGAGCGAAGTTCATTACGTCATCCTGGCTGATACGCCTCGTCGAAACAGCTTTATCGCCGACTGTGCACTTTGCCCTCCGCGCTGCTTGCCCCGCGCAATGTGCGAATCGCGCGCCGTTGCAAAATAATCTCTTAATAAGCAGCGTCCCCATTACAGTTGTTGGCGTGTTCGCCCTCGTCAGCGGTTTATGCAAATATTCTTTTTTTCGTTTTATTGGGCGTTCAATCCGAGCTGACCTCGGCGGATTCCGAATGGTTAGAGTTAGCGTCGTTAGCGTCCCAAATATCACGCAAAAAAATTGTGGCCAAGTTGGTCAACCTTGGATCGCACGAATTGGTGCGATGCGCTGCGTGGAACGCACGCAGTTTGTGTAAATTTGTCGGTGTTTTTATCAAATACGCAGAGTTTACGTTTCTCGCGAGATAATATAGTGTTGTTAATGCGTTTAAGACTATATCTTTGTTACGATGTTGTAATAATTTAATTAAAGCAGCAATTACCCAGTCGGAAGTTATGTAGTCTGCAATCTCGGGATCTGTAATTAAATATTAAGATGCTTAACATTACAGAAAATAAAAATAAATATAATTTCTGTACCGTTGCAGAGATTGCAGAGTCCTCCAACGGCGAAGGCGCAAAGCTCTTCGTTCTGTTGTAGCTGCAGCTGATTCAAAAACAAATCAACAATTTGCAATTGTTTAATGAAGTTGTAGTTGATAGGATCATATGCAAAATTTGCTAAATTCGCCAATACTTGTTGCTTGCCTTCTGTAATAATAATAATAACGTAAAATATTAAATTTTTGAATAGAAATTTTGAGGTTATCTCTAGTTACCTAATGATTTCGTCGTAGTATATTCGTCCTTCAGTTTTTGCAGAAAACTCAATCGTTCTTCGGGTCCACCTTTTCGTTGTAATTGATCCGGACGAGTAAACATAGTACAATAAATAAAATACAATCCGAATTCGTTTCGTTACATTTACGGTTTGTTTACAATCGATACGATTAGCATTGTATTGAAAGTTGTCTATATTAGGAATAAAATTTAAAATTTTGCGCTCAAATCGTTTATGTTGCTCAACATTGTTATCACGTTATCAGCAGTGCATTAAATTGCATTGGTTCATAAATAAAATTTACAATTCGAGTAAAAACATGTTATTGTATTATTTATTTCGATTACAAAATTGATCCATTTAAAAACATATAAATATACGTAACGTGCAGTTAATTTATTTTTTCGTTGTTTTAACTGCCAAGTTATATGATATAATAAAATGTTGAAACAAATTGTGATATTAGTTTGTTTCGTGGGTGGATCTTTAGCGGTTTTACCTAAAAATCACTTTGGTTTACGTTCTGCGTTAGCATTGAATCAAACTGAAGACATTTTTGATTCGTGAGTGAATTTATTTAACAATTTAAGATATTTTTGTGATTTAAATGATTTAGATTGACAGAGGCACAAAAAACAGCATACATAAACAGAATTTTCGATGTGATTTTATTCGAGCTTGGTATGTTTATGCTTAATTATGGTTTTGATCCACTCAAGTTGCCTGATCAAGTTCAAACATTCAGTTATGTGAGTTTCGTATTTTACAATTTATAACTAATAAAATAAATTAATAATAAATTAATTATTATAGAAACCTTTGCTGGTTAATTATACTGGTGTCCTGAATTTAACAAAAGGTGTTGCTTATAATGTTTCGGATATTCAACGAAACGGTGACGTACAAATGAAATACCTCGATCGAATTCTCACCCTGAGTGTTCCGTTAAAGCTAAACAAAATTCACGTAATAATATATAAATCTTATTAATTTAATTTAATGAAATCTCAATTTTTTATTAGTTTAAGTATGATTACGATGCGAAAATAATGAATTTGGGACCAAAAGGCGGCGTGGAAGGCAATGCAGTAAACATTGAAGTTTTTGCGTCGTTGACAATAAATTTTAAAGAAATGCACATCACCATGAATGAATGTGCAAACGTAGTGAAAATTGGGTACGTCTTGAACATAAAACAACGCAAATTTAATAATAATATTTATTTTGTAGTAAAATATCAGTGAGTTTCACTGGTAACGCTCCTACGGATTGGTTAATCAATTTATTAACACCATTGGTAGTTGTTTTATTCCGGGGAATGATAAACGATGTTATCACAGACCAAGTGTGCAAGAACGCAGTCGAGTTATTTGACGAAATTAATGCATTTTTTATTAGTTTGAAACCTGAAAGTGTATAAATTTTACACAAATATTAATTTTATCAATTCAACACAAAAATAGTTCCAAATTTAGAACCAATCAGTGTTTGTAAATGTTATCGCCGCCGGTAATTATCTATGTCTCAGGATCTCAGCAGGTGTGATTGAATTTCTATTATATTTCAATTAAATGTGATTGGCGTTCAGATAATTCAAGTGTTATCAAAACACTTGACAAAATGCATTTGTTTAAAAGTGTTTGATGGCATTATCTTGTACTTGCGCAATCTCTGAGGTCGGTGGTTGGATATTTTGGAGTGCATCGTTTAATAAATCAATTACGGTCTCCAATGTACTGCGCACAATTACTTCAGCGATGAGTGTGATCAGCCCCTTGAAGATGCCAGTGACAATCGGTGTGAGGAGATTGACAAACCAGTCGATTATTCCATTTCCAGTAAATTTACATGAAATTTTTCTGTTTGTGATTAAAATTTAAAAAATGTTTTATAGAAAAAATGTGTTAATCATTCATTTTAAACTTACCCGATTTTAACGATGTCAAATTCATTCAATGTGATTACTAATTGATTGAAATCCAAAGCCAAAGAAAAATAAATTTGAATATCTGTTGCGCTGCCTTCAATACTACCATCTGGTCCCAGATCCATCAATTTAGCGTTGTAATCGTAGTTGAACTAAATTTATAAACATTTATACAAATTTTCAATGAAAACTCAAGAAAAGTTTTGTTTTTTTTTACCAAAATTTTGTTAAATTTAATAGGCACATTGATTGTAAGGATACGACCAGTGTAATCCATGTAAACATTGCCATTACGGTAGATTTCGGACACGTCCTGTGCCCAACCGCGTTCCATGTCCAATTCACCGTGATAAGTGATAATAATCGGTTTCTAGATACACGAAAAGTTAATTAAGTCTTGCTTAAGTTATAATTTGATAAACATACGAAAGTGAAGTTTTCATGAACGTCGGGTAACTTATAGGGATCCAAACCTAAATCGCCCATTAACAAACGAACTTCAGTGATGATGACATCAGCCATCTCATTGACAGATTCAATCTTTTCTCGTGGACTCAATCTAGATTATAAATAATAACATTTTGAATGTTTTGAATTATGTTTTTAATAATAACTTACGAATCAAAAGTATCAGCTGTCACTTTCAAAGCCCGTGCTGATTTCTCGCCCAATGGGAGTTGTTGGGGTAGTGCAACAGCAATGCCCATGAGGCATGCTAAGAACACAAATTTGTTCAACATTTTACAAAACTAAATAATTATAAAACAAATTTAAGTTATAGGTGTCAGGCTCTCCTGAAACTACAATCAATTAGATTCCAATTCAATATTTTATACGCGTTTCGAATTTTATCGCACGCGTGCCATTGATATTACAATCTAATCATTTAATCATTTTTTTTTCAATTTGAAAATAAATTAAAGTATATTTTTCTGTATCATCCAGAACGATCGAAAATTTAAATCCCAATTAAATTAATTATTCACTTATTATTGCTGTTGTGAAGATTTGTACAAACTAATTACCATAAGATCTATAATATAAAAAAGAATCGCAAAATCTGTTGGTAAGCGCATAACTCAACAACGCATAGATAAATTTGGCCAATTCTTTTTTAAAATGTTCGTTAAGGGCCAAGGATGGTTTTTACGGCGAGAAAAATCGAATAATTGCCGGGAAAACCCTAAAGACAGCCCTTTTCTATAGGATAAAAGTTGTCATTGAGATTCAGTCATAGTTATAGTTAAATAGTTATAGTCTGAGCGCCATCTCAAGTGCTGAAGTGCGTTATTATCAATTCTTTATATAATTAATTTCTTTAAAATAAAATTGCGAATCTTATTGATAGAATTGACACATATCATGTCTAGAACAAGAGAGTAAAAACGAATTACATTTTTATTAAACACTACCGGGACGAAGTTGCGGGCAAAAGCTAGTTAAAATATATTATTATTAAAATATATATTTATGTATCTTCCAGAACGATCAAAAATTTAAATCTTAATTAATTTAATTATACATGTATTTATGAATATGTTTGTTGTTTGTATAACAAGATTTGTATAAACTAATTACCATAAGATCTGCGAATAACTGCGACGCAGCTAATTAAATTATTCTGAGACAAATACATGCAATCAGTGCATGCTACATGTAATAAAAAAATTATAGAAAATGAATGTAGTAACCTTCGTTTGGAAATTGGCATCAATATTTCCAGCGTAGAAAATGCTACAAATACTGCGCTAACAATGGTCAGTTAATCGCTTCGCATGCACGAAATTGTAGTGGATCTGTTTCACAAAGCCGATCAACAAGACTAATTTTGTTTGTTCACAATTGATAAGGCTTTAAATACAACCGTATTACAGCATACGATAAAGAAACTTGTTTTGGCGATTAGCGGTGCTTTCATTATATCGTTCAGTGTTAAAAATGCATTGGTTAACAGTGGTTTGTCTCGGTATTGTAGGTGTGACATTGTGTTTTGGAAACAAACATAATATTCATAAATTATTGGATAATGCGCATGAAATTACCAGGTAATTGTTATATTAATAAATTAAAAGTTTTAATTTGCGTATTAAATTATTGTTTTTTAGTTTTGATCAAATCCACCAGGGAGAATTTGTTGATTACTTCTCAAATTTAGTTTTGAATGAAATAAGACCTAAAGCTTCTAAAGCAGTACAATTGCCGGATGCTTATAAAGTTGTTCGATATGGAGTTGTAAGTTTTATATTTCTATTGTGTTCTAATTATAATTTAATTGTGAAACATTGTTTTGTTATGAATCAGAAGTTTGGTATGAAAACACTGGTACCTATTACAATGCAAGATGGTGTGACGTCTAAGCCAACATTTGAATTTGTCAACGCAACGATTGAGAACCAGTCAGCGAACCATATCGCATTCAATACACGGGTGTCGTTTGATAACTTGCGCGTAATAATAACAATAATAATTTGTAAATATTAAATTTATTAATTTTATTTATTATTTATGTTTACAGTTGACTTTCACCGAATGCAGATTGAATATTTCCGGTACAAGTCAACTAGGATCTGTATCAGCTCATGTCACGAACTTTCAAGGCGTTTTTAGCACTTTATTGGATTTCAAGGATAGCGGTGGGAGATGGTTAAGAAGATCAAAGAAAGTCTTTGGCAACGTACGTGAAACAACAAATCCTAATGTGGAATTAGAGTTAAATGAAGGTTCAAAGGATTTGTTCGATATTTATTTAAATATGGTTGAAGCAGATGATTTGAAAGAGGTTTTCAGGCAACAGATTCGTCATGTGTTTGATGTTGTTATATTAGATCACATTGATCAGCTGTATGAGTCGTTGAAAAATGTCTATAATGGCGACATTGTCACTCAGTAATGCGTAAACTGTCATTTTGTATATCATAAACCCATTTAAAATGTAAAAAAATCCTTTGTGTATTAAAATACTGATCATATATCATTTAATTTCAATCACAATAACAATAGAAATGCTATTTGAAGCAGTTGTAAAGGCACTTGACACCATGTCCAAGAAAGTCTACCGCTTTGATGAAGAAGATTTAGATCCGCATGATGTTCCTGAATCCATGGGAAATATCAACGCTCTTTCTGGTTTCTTCGACGCGATGATCCTGGAAGCTCGTCAAACGATGATCGCTGAAAATCTGGATCCTATGGATATTCCAGATGGCGTTCATAAAGAATTAAATGTTAATATCAATAGAATAATTATAAAAGTACATTTAAATATAATGTTTGATTGTAGGCGTTGATCATGTCAGCTACATTAGACATCAATCGTATATCCGTGCACAATTTGAGTAATCTCGAAAGAAAAATGCCCTTCCATTGTGAATACAATAATCGCGTGATGACGATTGCGATTCCGATCAGTTTTGTTGATGTTAAAGTCTTTACTGATTATAAAATTAACGCTGGTTATGTGGTGATATCCGAAGGACGAATTATGTGCCGTGCGGGTGATATAAGTCTTTGTTTGAAGTTCTCGTTTGACTTCATTCACAGAAAATTAATTTTCCGAAACTTTGATATACCAGAATGCGAGTAAGCATGAATTTAATTCACAAATCTCAGAAATTTAATAATTTTTTTCTTGTTTCTAGAAAACTTTCAGTTGTTTTCAAAGGTGAAGGTTTAACAAAATATTTGTTAAATGTATTAACACCGATTGTTATAATGAGTATGAAAACTATTTTGTTATCAACCATCAAGGAGAAAGTCAGTGAGCAAATTACGGAGGGAATGGAAGTGGTAAATCGAATTCTAAAAGAGATGAACAAAGAGAACAGACAGAAATATGCAGCAAATAATCCGCAAACGTCTAGGTCTCCTTAAAATCTGTGCATTTTTAATAAGCAAAACGGATACATTAACAGTTTTATTTGTGCTGATATTGATTAAATCTTGGAATGTCATTTATCACATTGATCCATATGAAACATTTTATTTTTCTAGTTGAATTTGATGCGTCGATAAGTGCAGGAAACTGTTATCAGTTCAATGATTTGAGGCGTATTTTTTTCAATGTTTGAACGTTGTTCTTTTATCATCGATTAAGCAGGCAAATTACGTTGTAATCGATTTATAAAACCCATGCACTTATGATGATTACACTTAGTCCTGATTTTCGATTCACTTGATTTCGTTTTTGGGAAATTCCATTCGGTAAATTATGAAGGTTTTTCTTTGTTTTGTCGCTGTGCTCGTGGTTGGTGCTTCGGCACTTCCACAATCTACTGTTGCTTCAGATGTGGACATGTCCAAAAATTGTAAGCGAAAATGTTTTGACGAAAGTTCAGCAATTTCAATATATTGCTAAGAATTTTGAGTCGTAAGTAATTTTATTCTATTTTTATTAACATTTATTAATGTTCATTTGTTTGTTTTGTGGATTTAGATGGTCTACTCGTAAGCAAATTGAGAACATCAACGATTTTGTTGATATGATCATTGCGGAGGTACGCAGCTTTTTGGTAAAATATGGTTTTGACCCAATGAACATTCCCGATATTGATGAAGAAATTGAGGTATTAATTTAATTTACTGATTTACTAATTTATTGATTTACTGAGTAAAATTTCTCTTTTTTTTTTACTTTAATAATAATTTTATAGATAACTGGAGTACCAATTCATTTGAAATTGAATGATGGAGTCATCTTTAATGCTTCTTCAATTTACCGTGATGGTGATATTAATCTGTACTATGAAAACCGCTTGCTGGTTGTTGAAGTGCCGATCTTTTTCAAAGTCTTCAAGGTAAAAGTAATACTTTACTTTGTTATATTGTGTATTATTGCTTTGTTTTTAATTTAGATGGACTATGAATACGATATTGCGGTGAGCTCGGACGGTTCCCTCTTGGAAGGTAAACTTAATGGTGAAGTTGTTCTCGTCGATGTGAATTTTGCGGTTCAGGTGGATTTCAAGGCACTACAAATCAGTCTTAAGTCTTATTCCATTTCTAACATTGGGTAAAACGTTTTTCTTTTTAAAATTTATGTTTATATTTCAAATTTTATATTGAAATTGCAGTGCAATCAACATCGACTTCTGGAAGGTAGCATGCTCAACTGGGTTCTGCAAGGAGTTACTGATTATGTGACCACTCAACTAAAGGACGAAGTTATTGCAGTGGTTGAGGCCGTTTGTTCTTTTACTATGACCAGCATTTTTGACATTATCAATAAGGTGTTGGAGGGATTAACGCCGTAAAAAACAATGCAAGAAGTTAAATTTCATCGAGTTTTGACATTTTTGTTTTCTTGGTAAAAAGAAATAAATTTAAATACACAAATATGTGTTCTGCTTAGTTCTGCGCCCGTCGTTGGATGAGTCGAACATGTTCCTTGTGGCGCCTATAGTTTCCTTTCTGCGTGTCCTTGATAGAAATACCGCGCTGCGGGTTGCGCGCGCAGTCTTATCGCATGTTGTCACATGCGTTGGCAGCTTGTTCGACTTACGAGATGTACGCGGTGCGCTCTGAGTACTCGTAGTTCTGTGCCGGTTGTTGGCTAAGTAGAATGCTTTGCATACGGCTTCTTGAATATATACTGAGTATATTCTTGAGTATGTATTTAGTGACGTGTTTGGTGCTTTATCAATGATCGAACATCATCGTCATCATGTCGTATTAAAGACTTAACAGTTTGTGATTTGTGTTTGTTATTTGATAGATTAAATTTGAAAGTCATGTGTCGTCTAGATTTGGCTTATTGTATTTTTGTGTAAGTTTGCTAGTTATTTAGACAGGGTGATGCATGCGCACTTTCGCATACGTGACTCACACGTACGCTGCTACTTAAGTGCGTGACCACTCACTGCCTCATAGACAATTTCGCACTGACACACATGCGCGCCACACTGTTTGAAACACTTTGTAAAGTGTTTTCAGATGGCGTAACGATGTAGGTTCACCTGGAAATATTCCAGCGAGAGGATTTTGTTTTGTTTCAACGGTGCGATAACGACGAGCGCACATTCCACACTTTCGACTTGTGTTATTCCTTGATGTAAATTCGGTAAATTGTGTTATATTTCCTAATCGCCGTGATACTAGTGTTATTAAACTTGTTTGTTATTTTATCAGCTATTTATCGCGTGTAATCTGCAATTGTACCGGTGCGTTTAATTCTATTCATGTACGTGAGTCCGTTGCCGCCGGGGCCACGGGCCGATGAAAATATCAACGCTGTAAACGCTAATAACAATTGACATGTGAAAAAACATATTTGTCATCAACAGAGGGAAAGGAATCAATGTGTGCTACCAGGTAAATATTATCATTCCTATGATTATTATGCGAATAACAAGAATTTTAATTCAAAGATTGGGTTCCGACGGAACGCAGATTCATTTAAACATAGCACGAAATGCTGTAGCTAATGTTTTGTTTCTCATTTATTTCAGCATTCGCCAACTTGCCGTCGATCTACATATCATCTTCCATAACCGGTAAGTAAAATAATTTCATTATTTATAGAAACTGTTTGTTGTAAAATTACATAAATCGAATTTTAATTTATCATTATTTTAATACTTAATTAAGCTAAGTACAAAGTTATGCAAACACTACCGTAATGCTATACCCTCGCCAATATCGCCAAAACGATATGCTTTTTTTATTTAAATTATTGCAAAGTTTACGGGAAGTATTTGCCGCTTTCCGATGTGGATAGCTATTTCGACCATTAGAGGTCTCATCAGCACACCTACTGGCTTGACAAATACTGCATTGACCTGCCATGGCTTATATACAACTGGCTTATAATATAGCGTACAGTAAGTGTTTACTTAACTTTACTTAGCTTATACTCACCCTCTCGTACTACCTACCATTGTATTTCAATACTTAATTAAAATGATGGGCCTAGTACGTGTATCAAGTATAGATGGCCTTAGCATGTACTAAAAACCATTAAAATAGACTTGTTTCGTTTATTTAGATATTTATCAGCAAACGTGAGCATTCGACACGACACAAGATTGCCGTGTGTTATCGTTGCCATCCTTTCACGCCTCGCTCTGCTTTTTTAGTTTAGTTTAGTTTAGTTCGCATGTATCTATTGCAATTTGTGCGCAAGGCTGCGGGCAGTCGTCACGGGCCATTCTTGTGCCGGCTTTGCGCGTTCGGACAACAGGTAGTCTTATCATGAACTGTCGCGAGCGTGTTTGCTTCGCTGAGGTATATCATGCACTATTTTAATACTTTGTCGTATAGAGAATTAATTTTCAGTAGATTAATTTGTTTCAATCTCGTTCCTTTCGCCGTTTTCAGATATTAAAATAAAAATGAAAATGTCTATTTTTAGCACTTTTAAACACGGTTTCGAACGTGGTAGGTGGATACAACTCAAATGTTTAGTTTTGTTCTTTGCAAAGAATTGCTGAGTACACCACAAAGTTCTGAGTGTCAATCTTTTATTTTTCAAAATTTTAAATATTTTAGGATAAAGGTGACAATAATTCCTAAGAATATTATATAAAATTAAATAATTATTTAATACTACAATCAAAAGTAACAAGTATTTATGTTTAATATTTCCCAAGTAAATCAAAATAAACATTTAATTTCATTTATTTGTCTGTTTTCAGGCGTTCATCATACTGATACTACCCAATCGTCTTATACGCACTTTCGGGCTGTAAGTGAGACGTCGGAAGTCGCGCGCAGAAAAAAATTACAACTCACACTATCTCTTAACATTCCAAGTGATCTTCGAATGCAATCATGTCATGCAATATGCGATCTTAAAGTAATATAGAATTCGTGCGTTGTTTGCATGTTTTGCTTCGGGTTTATCAACATCACCTCAACGCCGAACTTTTGTGCGCAAGTCCGGCGGTGAAGCAGCGCAGGGAAACAGTTAACGCGCAAATTCTAACGCTCAGCATCGCTTCACCAGTGCGCGACATTGTTCGCAGTTACACCTCCAAGCACAAAATTGTTGGCCAGTTTATTAAATCAGAAAAAGTGTTGTTACCAAGCGAAAAGCCATTCCAGGTACCACATGTACGTCTTCTTGCATTATTTCTCATTTGCGCCTTTTATTAAATCTGTAATTTGTAACATTTTAACGCGTTATTGTTTTATGCGGCGTTAGACGCGCTGCGGCTATGGCTGCGATTCAAAACGTCGCTTTGCCTGCGTCCACTCAAGTTGCGCTAATACATAAACCAAATCATGTACTTGCAACGCGTCTAATTGGAATATTCGGATGTAATTTTATTGTGCAATCGATATATGGTAAGGGTGATCGCAGTTTCACCTTCTCGAAGTGTACGCGGCGATGTTATCAGCCATTTGTTTGCTTTTCACTTGTTTTAAACGGTAACTTTGCGGTAGCAGAGTACAATTGTGCAGCACTGTTAACACAAAGAGACTTTCATGTTGTTGTTTTGAATTTTAACATTCCAAATATTCCAACACCATTCGGCACCGCTGATAACGCACTCTTATTTTTATTTTCTAAACGTTAAGCATATATCATTTACTTATTACTTACTTTAGTATTTACTATTATACTATACTCTTAGTATTTTGTTATATTTGAATTGTTTTATTTTCTGTTTATTATGTGCGACGTTGTTGTTGATGGTGCACATGATCGGCTAATCCACTTCTGAAAAACGCTCCTGTTTTCAATTGCAGACATGAATATTAAAAAATAATTGTACTTACTGGCGGCTTTTTGTACTTAAAATTTTCTGCTGTTTCTAGATGACCTTTCATGTCACCCACCTGACGTCCTTCCGATTAGTCTTTACTTTCCCAAGATTGGAAAAAGGTTTAAACATTACAAATCGCTGTAAGTTTACGTTTATCCAATGTCTCTACAATTTTTTAAATTTTCTTGTTTACTAATTGTTCTTCGCTTGTCTTTCAGGTACATATTCGATATATTAAGTATTTTGTAATTCGGGCGCGTTCGTTTTCTGTTTATGTACTTTTGTGTCTACTAATATTCCACACCTTCATGTTTTAAATAATACTACCTCAATATCATTATACTTTTATTGTTTTTCAATCCTTTTAATATTCATATTTTTCATAATTTAAAAAATCCTTTAAGCTAATTTTGATTAATTTATCATTTATTTGTTTTATTCTTTTAAAAATTTTTAGTTCCAATATCTACCAAATCATCCCTACCAAGTATTTTAATCTTGTTTCGATTCACAGGTATAAGTGATAAACGATATTCGCGAGAGAATCTGAGAGGTGTAACGAAATACTCATCGGAGTGCGGGTCGCGACGCGTTTTGATTTAAACCATTTTATTGCATCGTTATCGAAGGAGTGGTCGTGCCTTTGTTCCTCTCACCCGTTAGGGAAAGTACGGTGTTTACAAAAAATGTATCCGAATATTCGACAAATCGAGTGCGGGACGCGATTAAAAATCCGAAAGTTTCGCGTAATCCGTATTGCACCATTAAAGTGCGCGTTAAAAATAATTCCAATTCCATGAGGGTTTGGACGGGGCCTCAACGGTCTGCAAGCATCCTACCAAAGGGTTTAACCTTAAGATTGTATTATAATATCCACGCTATAAGTAGTGTGAGTACACCTGACTTGCCTGGTATTTTTATGCGCCAACATATGCACGTATAATCGTTTGTATAGCGTCGTATTCTACCCCATTAAATTGAATTATTTTAATCTTTTATAGAGAATAGTCCGTAGAATAGTTTCTGCTATTTTAAATTTATTTATCTCATTTAGTTTACGAGATATTCGCAATTGAATAATATGGGCAAAAATTGCAAAATGTCACTTTTAGCTCTTTAGTCGCATTTTTCGACCTTTCACTGCAGGAAATATAATTATTTTATTTTTATCTGATAGAGAATTTTCCAATCTTTCATAATCAACAAATGTTATAGCTATTCCTTTTAGTTTAAGAGATATGAATTTTTGAAAATCATCGAAATAAAGTATCAAGCACCCCTTGGCAATTTTTTCTTAAGACTTAAAATTTCACATCTCTCAGATTTCCGTTTTAATCCATCCTATCTGATAGAGATTGGTCCGTAGATTAAGACGCTGCGATCAGATCTTTATTTATCTCTTTAGCCATATATTCGCGATTGAATAAAAATAGGCAAAAAATTGCAAAATGTCACTTTTTAGCACTTTTAGTCGCGTTTTTCGACCTTTTACTGTAGGAAATATAATTATTCATATTTTTATCCGATAGAGAATTTTCCAATCTTTCATAATCAAATACCTCGTTGGCAGCTACCCTTTTAGCTTAAGAGATATGAATTTTTGAACACGAAAAAGTATCAAGCACCCCT